ACCGCGCTAAGCGGACGGCAGGGGCTCTGCCGCCGGCTCGGCGCTTGCAATGGTTAGTTCCGCGAATCGACGGCATCCTTCGGAGTGGTGATCAAGGAGGTCTACGCTGCCCGAGACGCCCATTGGGCGGTGGGGGTTCAGGAGCCGCAAGCTGCTACGACTCAGGCGGCACCGGCATCTGCATCCAAGGTTGCTGCAGGTACCAACCTCCTTACTCAGGGCAAACCCATTGGCGGCCGCCCGGTGGCCCGGACCATGCGCGACGGGACGCAGATCTGCCAGGCCTTCCAGCACGGCAAGTGCGGCGCCAAAGGCAAGTGCATGCAGGGTGCGGGGTTGGAAGCGCATGAATTGCCGCAGCCGGTTCCCCCCCTCATGGCCGATTTGATGGGCGGCCCGCGGGTACCGCTGACCAAAGCTTTCCTTCATTGCGGTTGGCGATGCCTACCGGTTGATTGGCTGCTGGATGCCACCCACAACCTGGCCGACCCTCGGCGGCAGGAGCTGCTGCACGAGCAGCTGTTGGAGGTCGATTTCATTGCAGCGGCCCTTGATTGCTCTACTAAGTCACGTGCACGGGAGATCCCGCGGAAGTTCGACGATGGGCGTCCTGCACCACAACCACTTCGCTCGGAGCAGTACCCGGAGGGCGGTGCGAACAGGCAGAGCAGTGCTGCGGGTCCCCCGGATGCCCGCGGTCGAATGTGTGGGTCGCAGGGAGGACTGGCTGCTGTTGGACCCGCGGGCCATGCGTGAGTGGGCTATGGCACCGGTCGCCCTGTCCCTGGGGCTTCGCTTACGGGGTGCCCAGGCGCAGGGGCTACCTGTGCGGGCGCAGGCTCAGGCAGTTCTGGGCGAAGGGAAGCTTTTGCAGGACGCGCACATCTATGTGGGCATGGGTCACCATAGCCACCGTCTAGCGTGTTCCAAATGGGCGGCCAACGAGATTTCAGGTATCCACTGTGGAGGAGACGATTGGTTGCCTCATTATGTGGCCCACATCCACCAGTCCGGCCTCTTCGATCAGTTGGAGGAGCTGGAGGGATGACGTTGGGGTGCGACTGCCCCATGGAGGTCCCATGCGAGGCGGACGTCCTGATCGGCCTTCTCTTCGAACGGCGGTTGCAGAGCGGTGAGCGGGGCGCGGTTCTGGCTCTGGCTTCCACGCAACCTGCAAGAGCATTCTCAACAGTCGCTTGTGGCTCGTTTTCGGCGACTGTTTCCCCATGAGTGGCTTCAGCACACCACTTTTCCGATGATTGAAGACCTAGGAGCTTGATGTTGATGGTCCGATGGGGCCGGTGCTTGCCACTCGCACAGCGCGGTTTCGACAGATTACCGCAACGGGCCGGCAAGCTGGAGCCCTGAGCCACAAGGCCGCGCTCCCGCCACTTCAGGCGGGTGAGCCTTTGGAGGAGGAGCCCATGCTGGACGCGGACCTCCGCTTTGCAGCTGCCTGTTGCGCCCGCTGGCGAGGTCAGATGATCGACCTTCGGCGGCAAGCGGTGAGAGCATTGCGGGAGCTGAAGCAACGCTGGCAAGGCGTCACGGCTACGTTGCGTGAGCGACAGCCGGCAGCAATCCGCAGAGTGACGGCCCAAGCGGGACGTGGGTTTCACGGCTCTTCTGATCATCCTGAGTTCGTGGCCGGATGTGTCCTATCCGTACGGGTTGGTGTGCGGTCTCCCAGCTGTTGGCTATGCGCCCCCCTATGGCATCTTCCCTGAGCAGGAGGCACGTCGCATCCCTTTCGAGGAAGTGGTGATGGGGGCAGAGGCCAACAACCAGCGGATCTTGGCCACTGTGTGGGCAGGCAAGGACGATGTCTTTCTCCTGTCTCAGTCCACCCTGGATGCGGAGCAAGGCTTCTGCACCTACCCGATGCGGCGCCGAGAGCTTCTTCAGGCGGTGAAAGGAGCTCCCTTCCGTTTAATACCCAGGTGTGTTATCACACAGAGTTCTGGCAAGCAACGTATAATTGACAACGCCGATCAGGGGGGACAAAGCGACTTGTCATCTGATGCTAACAAACTGGTTCTGTGCACACCCCTGCGCCCTGCGCATCACATCCGAGCCGAACGACCTCCGGGAGGCGCGGCTGATTCCTGGGAGTCCGGGGGGGAGGACTGGCCAGATGCCTATCGGCATTCGCCAATGTCACCACAGAGTGCTTGGGCTGCGTAGTAGTCTTCTGGCACCATTTGTGGGCAGAACCAGCCTACCAGCTCTATGCGGGTCTCCTGTTTGGGCTGCCCCTGGCGGTGACCAGTTTCAACCGGTATTCCAGGTTGGTGGAGTCCCTTGGGCGCAGGCTGGTCTTTGTGCTGGTGTCAATGTATTTTGACGACGCGAGCTTGACAGACTGGCGTTCAGCAAAGGGGTCTGGGCAGTGGGCCTTTGAGCAACTGAACGTCCTTTCGGGAACCCTCTTTGCTGAGCAGGCCATGGCGCCCCAAGGCGTTTTCCTTGGAAGGACCATGACATGTCTGAGGCTCTCTCCCATGGCCACGTGAAGTTCTGGGCCACGGCAAAGCTGCACGGCAAGCTGCAAGGGATGCTGGCGTCTCGTTCCACGCAGCGCCTCACCCTGGGGGCGGCCGCCAAGGTGTACGGCCTGGCCAATTTCTTGGAACTTGGCATGTTCGGCAAGGTGGGGGCGGGTGGCCTCCACCCGATCCGGATGCGGCAGGACGAGAGGCACTCGACCCTGACTGCTGAAATTTGCCGTAGTTTCGAGCTGCTCGAAGCCGTGTTTCAGGTACAGCCGCGCCGAGTGTTTGAAGTGATGCACCAGGCATGCCCCCGCTTTTTCGCAGCGTCAGATGCAGCACTGGAAGTGCCTGGCGCAGGAACAGGAGGGTTCCTGATTGTCTGGTGTGACGCTCATGCGGAATTGCGTGAGGGTTTCGTCGCCCATCCGGCAGCCTTGTACCAGGTGTGGACGCCTGGCGATCACAAGATTGCCCAGTTGGAGCTTTCCATGGTCCTGTTCGCCTTGATGGCTCGGCCTGGCAAGTTCCGCCATCGCAGGGGGGTGTGGTTCATCGATAACACTGCCGCGTTGATGTGCTTGGTGCGTGGGCGGTCGGCACAGCCGGACCTGGAGCACATGGCGCATCTGATCCATGTGATTTTGTTCTCCTTGCAAACTTGGATTTACTGGGAATACATTCCATCGAAGTCAAATTGGGCTGACGCTATCAGCCGGGAAGGTGCCCGTGACCCTTGGCACCGTTCCAGAGGTTTCTCAACACAGTCGACCGCTCTGCCGCTGATCATTTGGCATCTCCCATTGCCAGCATTGATCTCGGTTGTGCATTTCCTTTGAGTGCCTTGCAATTAGGTAGTGGCCATACACGCCGGGATGGCAGTGGGGAAGCTGACAGAGGGCCTGAGTGGGGCCCACTCAGTGCCCTACCTTAGCTCACTAGAGCATACCAAGGCAAATCCTCGCAGTTCGAGGTTGACCATGACAAAGTAAAGGATTGCACCCGCTATAGAAGAAGTGCGAGAGAGCTGTGCGTTCGTGTTGAGTCACACACCATAGGAATGTGGTTGTGTCTCGAGTTGGTAGGCTTGGGTAGACACTGATCATTCCTCATGGTGTTATACAATTACCATTTTGGCTCAAGTGCCTTGAACCAAACTGGCTAAGTGTATTTTCTTCTCCCACCCTGTCTTTTTCAACTAACCCGCCCTTGGCAGGTGGCCTGGCGTCCAGTAACCCCTGTCTTGGAGGCTTCGCTGGGGCTGGGTTTGCGTCACAGAGGGGACGCGGAGGTAGGGTTCCCGATGGTCGGGACGTAGCCTGGCAACCCACACCTTGTCCAGGCTACCCCCCCTATATCTTGTCTCCTGCCAGCCAGTATGCCGGGAGGCATCGGGTGGCTGATCGGAGGGGGGTGTTTACCCTGTCAGCCACACACGCCGGGATGGCAGTGGGGAAGCTGACAGGGGGCCTGAGTGGGGCCCACTCAGTGCCCTACCTTAGCTCACTAGAGCATACCAAGGCAAATCCTCGGAGTTCGAGGTTGACCATGACAAAGGATTGCACCCGCTATAAAAGAAGTGCGAGAGAGCTGTGCGTTCGTGTTGAGTCATACACCATAGGAATGAAGAAGTGATGTTCTTTGGACCGAGATTGAGGATTTGAAGATCCCCCCGGGTAAAGTATCTTCCAGGTTTACTTCCAGATCGAGACCTCACTTGTTTGCTATGAGGAGTGCCCCATGCGACAAAATGACAGGAACAATTCTGCGACGCATCGTGATTAACACTGTTTTAGCCAAGGCGCATACTTGGACAAAATCCTGCACGGTTTCATCATTGCGCAGGATTTTGTCCATCCACTGCATTAATTTCGTTCGGCTCCATTCGTGTTTCATGAAAATGTGTCTGGATTTAGATACGGACATTGAACCCATCTGAAACTGAACTTGATTCCATGTTCAGGAAATTTCAATCGGATTGTTCTTCAAATGCTGTGTTATTACAGAAACAAGCGATTTATTCCGAACATAAGCCGAGACATATAAGGACATGTAACCTGTTAAAACCGAATGGTGGTTCCAATTTGAATCAACAGTTTGAGTTTGGCTCCCTTCCCATAGGTGAGGTTCAACCAAGTGAACAATTAAATCGGCTTAGATAAGCAACACGCAAATCGGATATGATTTGCTTTTCAATTTTGCTGTTTAAGTATGGGATGTGTTCGGACTATAATTGCATTACGAAAGGCATGGACCGCTTTTGTGATTGCACTGGATTTCAACGTCAACTATCAATTTCCAAGTTTGATGTGATATACAATCTTGTTAGAAATCAAAAGGAAATGCATAGCGGAAAGGAACATCTTGCAAATTGAACTGGACATCAATGTCCGGCAACAAATTAACAATTAGCAACAAGGACAGAAGATGGCATGCTCAGATGGGCCTTGCTCAAGTGACCCTCAGCACTCTGCTTGTGTTGTTTTTCTTTGGATTGTGGCTTTGCCTGAGGCAGGTGAGAATGCAGGAGGAGAAGAGGACGAGAGGATATCAGCAGCCCAAGCAGAACTAGCAGTAGCCGAGAAGGCTGCAGCTGAGCAAGCCGCAGCCGAGAAGGCCGCAGCCAGGCAAGCGGCAGCCGAGAAAGCAGCAGCCGAGAAGGCAGCAGCCGAGCAGGCCGCAGCCAAGAAGGCTGCAGCTGAGCAGGTTGCTGCCGAGAGCGCAGCATCCGAGGAGGCAGCAGCCGAGAAGGCCGCAGCCGAGAAAGCTGCAGCTGAGCAGGCTGCTGCCGAGAACGCAGCAGCCGACAAGGCAGCAGCCGAGAAGGCCGCAGCCGAGAAGGCTGCAGCTGAGCAGGCTGCTGCCCAGAACGCAGCAGCCGAGGAGGCAGCAGCCGAGAAGGCCGCAGCCGAGAAGGCTGCAGCTGAGCAGGCTGCTGCCGAGAACGCAGCAGCCGAGGAGGCGGCAGCCGAGAAGGCCGCAGCCGCGAAGGCTGCAGCTGAGCAGGCCGCCGCCGAGAAGGCAGCGGCAGCCGAGAAGGCCGCAGCCGAGAAGGCTGCAGCTGAGCAGGCTGCTGCCGAGAACGCAGCAGCCGAGGAGGCAGCAGCCGAGAAAGCAGCCGCTGAGAAGGCCGCATCCGAGCAAGCAGCAGCCGAGGAGGCGGCAGCCGAGAAGGCCGCAGCCAAGAAGGCCGCTGCCAAGGAGGCCGCAGCCAAGAAGGCCACTGCCGAGAATACCAAGAAGGCCACTGCCAAGAAGGCCGCAGCCAAGGAGGCCACTGCCAAGGAGGCCACTGCCAAGAAGGCCACTGCCAAGAAGGCAACTGCCAAGAAGGCAACTGCCAAGAAGGCCACTACCAAGAAGGCCTCAACCAAGAAGGCTGCAAAGGAATCTGCCACCACGACAAAGAAAGCTAAGGCAGCCAAGCATGGAGCAGCTGAGGCAATCGGGGAGGCGGCCAAAGAGCCAAGCCAGACGAAAAAGCCAAAGAAGGCAAGCAAGGCCGGGTGGCCCAAGAAATCAGATCGAAGACTGTGGGATAAGATCATTGCAACCTGGATCAACCGGTGCCTTCGCATGATATTGTGTTTGGTCAAACAACGATATGGAAGCAGAGACCTATAAAAAGAGGGAGTTGTTTCTTGGTTTCCAAGGGCAAGTGTCAATGTCCCTGCAGCCTGCGCGAGCTAAGCACACTAAGTACCGTCTTGCCTTGGCGCATTTGTTGGCTGAGAGCCCTGAGTGTACTGGGCTATGTGCGCATGCTTACATTGACCTTCGGAAGCCGGATCCAGGGCAGCACACAGGAAGCTGCCTGGCCAGCCGCTTGAGCCATCGAGAGGCATGAAACTACACTTGCAAGACTTGTCAATTAACATTTGATTGGCTTTTCATTTGTCACGTGTTCAGACTTGTGCTGGGGAAAAACCTCTTCGGCCCCCAAAAAGGTTTTTAGAACTCTTGGGGGTGGTTGCAAAGGTTTTTTTTGACCCCACAAATGGTTGGGGTTTCCCTTTAAGACCAACCAAAAAAGGTATCCTCTCAAAAAAAAATCACCCATATTCCTAAGATGGGCGGTTTGCCCAAGCCGCTGACGCGGGAGACGCATGGCAACTCAGATCAGGTCGAATAGTCGTGTCAAACATGGCACTCGACATGGCCCCGTTTTGGAGACGCTGCAGAGGTACCAGCAAGGGGCCCTTTTTTGACCCCCCCCCCCACCACCCAACTGAGCAGCTGATGCCAATTGAGAGTCAACACTGTTTGAATTGTCCCCGCCATTTGGGTCTAAGTAGGTAAACTCGAGAAAATAGCTGTGGTGCCTAACAGGTTTGTTATGTTTTGCCTCATGATGGTATTCCACTTGAATATGCCTTGGGCAAGCTAGGCACCCCAAAGCGACAGTTGCCTTCAAGTACGCAGCTTGTTGTTCCTAGCTCGCGCAAGTGGAACTTAAGTCCACGCCCTTAGGCCACGCGGGAAAACAGTCCTTGCAGCTCACCATCAAATGAAGGACTGACCATTTTCGGAAGAATATTGCGAGGGTTTAGTTCCTCAGGGAATTTTTATAGGGCGACAAAACGTGGCGCACACTCCTCACTATGAGATGCCCTCGCGGGAACCCAAAGATCCATTCTGTGTGGAGTTTACACAGGATTCCGTTGTTTGGATGATCCCAAGGTACGCTCAAACCCAGGGCTGGCTGATTTTCCTAAAAAGTAATACACTTCAGTCCACAATCTGCGTTTCTCAAAACAGAGTTCCCCTAAAGATAGGTTGCATCTTCCAGGCCTCCCACTCTTGCCATGTCAGTGGGGGGGGAGGGTAACTGAAATGCCTGAGCCGCTGCTTTTCAACAGACGATTTCGGTGGCCCACAGGCACACCTCCCAAATCAGACTCTCAGATATTGGTGTTAAAGTCTTTGGATGCAACACGCTGAGCCTGAGATATACCACTGAGATACACCATGTTATGGCATCTGATCTCAGGGTTCGCCAACTGGGAATCGGGGAATCGCCCACTTCCCCCCGAGCTCGGCGCGCCACCGGTTGGGATCGGTCGGCAGAAACGGAGCTCGGTCGGTAGGCCAAAGAAGCCGGAGACGAGGCGTGGGAAGTTTTTCCGGCAGCCCAAGAAGACTCTCTAGGTGATGAGCACAGAGCTCTAGCTGTACCAAATTCTTTTGTTTTCTTCAGGCCTCAAATTATTTTCTTACATACTTCTAGCTGGACCCTCACCATTCTCTTCAGGCATCATTCTCTTCACAGAATGGGCCAAAACCATGGAAAATTGGTGGTTTCCAAAGAGAACGATGGCTGAACAGAATGGGGAGTCAACCCCTAGAATAGTAGGTAACCAGAGGAAACCATCATCTTAAAACCTAGAGCGAAGAAATCCTTGCCTATGGGGGAAAAATCAGTTGATTTCTTAGAATCTCCTGTGGATCCCAGGCGTTTCGCTTTACTTGGTGGTAACCCTTTGCTATGTTACTGTTGGTTTCGAAAAATGCAAGGTGGCAACCCTTGGTTACCTATACGGGTAAATGGATCAACTGGGTTCTGTAGCAACTGACGTCATTATATTTAAGCAGCTATTTGCTTGAGCCGGTAAGAACACGAACATGCTTGCTTGCTGATACTGTAGTAGTCCAACGCTTCATCCATGAAGCTGATAAGAGGCACTTTCGTCCCATTGCCAACTCGAATCCTGATACTGCAGGTTGTGTTATGCTTTATGCCCGCGTTTGGAAGACTAGCTTCTTAACAGGGCGCATCTGATAGAGGAACAGATTGAGGGCACATCGTTCAACACTTGCAACACATCTTTGTCCGGGGCCTTGTCCACAGAATGTTCTCGAGCTCATTTCTGGTCCGATGGAAGTTGGTTCTAGCATCTTCTCACGCTTGCAGTGGACCCATCCGGTGCCAGGTCAGCATCCTCATGGAGGACCAAGCTCCGGCAAGCGCAGCTCAGGTCACTTCACATCTTGTTTCCTTATCTTCAGAAAATTGGTCGCCCCCCTCACCCGCCTGGGTTAGTTAATTCCCTTAGCTTTCCCTTGGTTCACCGCCCCTTTCTTGGGGTGCACCAAACTGACCCTGGGGATTCGAGGATCTTGATTGCACTTTGCAGTCACAGAATTCAGGCTCATCGCCACCCACTTCTGAAGGATTTCTGGAGTTTGCACAGATATCAAAGGATGGGGCTTTGTGCGTTTAAGGAATGTCGCCCTCATACCCTCCGGATTCAAAGGCAACCTCAGGTGCTCGCCATTTCTTCTAACGTTTGCCCTTGCATGTCCCGTCTATCTCCGTGTTAGCGCTGCCAAGAACAGAAATTGTTCGGACGGATGAACCATGCTCCAGCCAATTTCTCCGGTTTGACCGGCGGATGATTTTGATCCCCTGCATCGGCGCACAACTTTTTTTGGGCCAGGGGCCCCATTTGATGTTGGTCACTTTTGCGAGCTAGCTGGGGTCTGCATGAGCCTTTGAACATGGGTCATTTTTACCCATTTTGGGGTCGGGGCTGGCACAGGAGTTCATTTTTTAAGGGTCATGCAGACTCCTTTGGTAGCTGTTGACTGCCCGGCCCCTGCCGATTATTGTTTTTTCCCGGAAGCATTGCGAAGGGTTCTTCTCCTAAAAGCGGCTGCAAACTTCACCTGCCAACTTCTCATGTCAACTTTTTGAGAGTTATTTCACCTGCCAACTTCTCCTGCCAACTTTTCGAGAGTTATTTCATCTGCCAACTTCTCATGCCAACTGTTCTCATGCCAACTCTTCGAGAGTTACTGCACCTGCCAACTTCTCATGCCAGCTTTTGGAGAGTTACTTCACCAGCCAACTTGTCATGTCAACTTTTCGGGTGTTATCTCATTATCCTAAAAACACAAGCAAACTTTTCTTCTCTTCCTTCACATCTTGACTGTGCGTTATCTCATTATCCTAAAAACACAAGCTAACTTTTCTTTTCTACCTTCACATCTCGACTCTGAATTCTTCTTTTTTTTTTATGGCGGGGGTAGGCCCGACGGGAGCTTACGAAACGTACCCTCTGCGGAGATCGTGCGTGTCGAAGCGCTCTCGCTGTGGCGCCGTGCGAATTTGTCTTGACCTCGGCGAACCCTCTGCGGGGATCGTGCGTGTTGGATCGCTCTCGCTGTGGTCCCGTGCGAATCTGTCTTGACCCCGATGAACCCTCTGCGGGGATCGTGCGTGTCGGATCGCTCTCGCTGTGGTCCCGTGCCAATCTGTCTTGACTGCGGCGAACCCTCTGCGGAGATCGTGCGTGTCGAAGCGCTCTCGCTGTGGCGCCGTGCGAATTTGTCTTGACCGCGGCGAACCCTCTGCGGAGATCGTGCGTGTCGAAGCGCTCTCGCTGTGGTCCCGTGCGCATCTGTCTTGACCGCGGCGAACCCTCTGCGGGGATCGCGCGTGTCGAAGCGCTCTCGCTGTGGCGCCGTGCGAATTTGTCTTGACCGCGGCGAACCCTCTGCGGAGATCGTGCGTGTCGAAGCGCTGTCGCTGTGGCGCCGTGCGAATTTGTCTTGACCGCGGCGAACCCTCTGCGGAGATCGTGCGTGTCGAAGCGCTCTCGCTGTGGCGCCGTGCGTTTTTCTTGCTCGCGAAACGGCCTTTGGAAGTTGCCTCGTGGTTTGCACGCCTGCTTTCGCAATCCCGCGGTCGCGGGTTCGATTCCCCCCTGGTCTGCGGCAGCTCCGGCTCGAAAATCGCAGCTTTTAAGTACAAACGTAGTACGCGGAGCGTGTTCCCGCAGCTCCGGCTGGAAAATTGCAACTTTTAAGTGCAGACGTAGTACGCGGAGGCTGCTGCAGCTCCGGCTGGAAAATCGCACTTTTTAAGTACAGACGTAGTACGCGGAGCGTGTTCCGGCAGCTCCGGCTGGAAAATCGCAACTTTAAAGTACAAACGTAGCCCGCGGAGGGTTACTTCACCTGCCAGTTTCTCATGCCGAAATTTCGAGAATTACTTCACCTGCCAGCTTCTCATGCCACCTTTTCGAGAGTTACTTCACCTGCCAACTTCTCGTGCCAACTTTTCGGGGAGTTACTTCACCTGCGAGCTTCTCATGCCAACTTTTCGAGAAATACTTCACCTGCCAACTTCTCATGCCAACTTTTCGAGAAATACTTCACCTGCCAACCTCTCATGCCAGCTTTTCGAGAAATTACTTCACCTGCCAACTTTTCGAGCCAACTTTTCGAGATTACTTCACCTGCCAACTTCTCATGCCAACTTTTCGAGAGTTACTTCACCTGCCAACTTCTCGTGCCAACTTTTCGGGGAGTTACTTCACCTGCGAGCTTCTCGCGCCAACTTTTCGAGAGGTACTTCACCTGCCAACATCGCCTGCCAACTTTTCGAGAGTTACTTCACCTGCCAACTTCTCGCGCCAATTTTTCGAGAATTACTTCGCCTGCCAACTTCTCATGCTAACTTTTCAAGAGTTACTTCACCTGCCGGCTTGTCACGCCAACTTTTCGACAAATACTTCACGCGCCATCTTCTCGTGCCAACTTTTTTGAGAATTACTTGACCTGCCAGCTTCTCACGCCAACTTTCCGAGAGTCACTTCACCTGCCAACTTTTCTTTTGAGTTACTTCACCTGCCAACCTCTCACGCCAACTCATTGAGGGTTATTTCACCTGTCAACTTCTCATGCCAACTTTTCTCTTGAGTTACTTCACCTGCCAACTTCTCATGGCAACTTTTCGAGAATTACTTCACCCGCCAACTTCGCCAGCCAACTTTTCGAGATTTACTTTACCTGCCAGCTTCTCATGCCAACTTTTCGAGAACTACTGTACCTGCCAGCTTCTCATGCCAACTTTTCGAGATTACTTCACCTGCCAATTTCTCGTGCCAATTTTTCGTGAGTTATTTTACCTGCCAACTTCTCTTGCCAACTTCTCTTGCCAACTTTCCGAGAGTTACTTCACCCGCCAACTTCGCCAGCCAACTTTTCGAGAGTTACTTCACCTGTCAGCTTCTCATGCCAACTTTTCGAGAATTACATGACCTGCCAACTTCTCATGGCAACTTTGCGAGAATTACTTCACCCGCCAACTTTGCCACCCAACTATTCGAGAGTTACTTCACCTGCCAGCTTCTCATGCCAAGTTTTTGAGAATTACTTCGCCTGCCAACTTCTCATGCTCACTTTTCGAGAGTTACTTCACCTGCATCAACTTGCCTCTATGCTTCCGGGCCACTCGTCGTGTAGTGTGTTCCTGAGCCGAAGCTCTCTAAAATTGGCCGAAGCAACGAGAGAGGCATTTTCCATGGGCCCAGTGACCCCATAGCTGGGGTTCCAGAAATTGGGGACCCTTCATGGGAGGGGGATAAGTCGGGGCTGTGCGAGCCTTTTTGGGCTCTGGTGTAGAAGCTGCACAAGTGCCACTGAAGAGCTGCGCCCTAAAGTTACTTGAGCTGGTTCTAAAGGAAACCCAAAAGGGACACCACCTAGAACGCACCGAGGATAAAAGGGACACAGCCTCGTTTAGGGAACACCACCATTTATGCGAAATCCAACCTTTGATCAAAGACACACCCATAGGGCTTGATTCCTTTTCCATTCTTTTCAGCCATGGTTCTTTTCAAAAGCCGATCGCCACGTCCCCAGGGTCTTTTTCTTCAAGGTTTTCTAGAAGGAAGGGATCCCTGCAAAGAATGGAATTGGAAGGTACCCCTAGACCGTTCCTAGCTGTTGGGATCCGAGTCGAGGAGCTGGATCTCACGGTGAGCGGCCTCCAGGCGCGTTTTGATGCAGACAATGGCGCCCGGGAGAGGTGAAGCCAGATGAATGCTGGCCATTTGCCCGAGGTTTCTGCTTTTTTTGGGTTGTTGTCGCCGCATCATGGGCCGGTAATCAGATTCAGAAGCTGTAGCCCTAAAGCTTCATAGTTTGGAGGTCTTGCAAGAAGTGTTGTGGAGGTCTGAACCCCATGTTGCCCGTGGTGCCAGGTTGGTTGGTGCGTGGGCGGGTGGGTTGGTTGGTGAGTGGGTTGGTGGATTGGTTGGGTTGGGTTGGGTTGGGTTGGGTTGGGTTGGGTTGGGTCGGGTCGGGTTGGGTTTGGCTGCTTGGCTGGCTGGCTGGGTGGTTGGTTGGACGGTTGTTCACAGGCAGCATTTGTGGGCTGGTTGAGAAAAACCTCAGCATCGCTGTTTGAACACGTGTTGGTTTAGTTGCTGGGCTTGGCATGTCAACTCAATGCGACGCAGAGCACATTGGAAGTGCGAGGCTGTGGTGCACGCATCCATATGGAGGGAGCCCGTTTTTGAGGGCTCGAGGACAAAGGATCCGCACACATCTCGCTGCTTTGCATTGTCAATAGGCTATGAATTCGAAGATTGGGAACCACCGGCAAAGGTGGTGAGTGAACATGAATCTCCACCTACATAATTTGATATCCGGCAAAAGGGTCGGCTATGAATTTGGTGGACATGACCCTCCATCTAGTCGCTATCAATCAAGGGTGCACATATCCATTCGTGCATTTGCATGGAACAACTAATGATTACCAGAAGGACCAACGAGGGATGCATGGTTATGGACATGGGGGGGACTCACGAAACTTCCGATGTCCGGTACTTAAGCCTAGCAAACCCCATTTGCGTTTCAACAGCCAAATGGAGAGGCGCGGCCAAGTAGGGCAACCGTATACATTGAGCCCCTGGCTTGCATGCCCAAAACTGATGCCTTTGTCCCCAAGGGAAAGGAACGCGACCCAAAGTTGGCACCATCAAGAAACTGGAATACTTGGGCTTGCGTTAAACATTAGGAGATCCCCGAAATGATCGTTTTCATGTTGGTTTCACTGAAAACAATCTTCCCCAAAACAAACATGAGCCGCGGCGATCGAAGGCGGAGGTCGTCAGTGACACTTTGAGCTTCTTGCT